TTGGCTGAAATTTCAATTAATTTCGTCATTGGGAATTCACAATTGAATGGGAAAATCAATAAAAACTGAATTTCAGATCAATTATTCCATAAAAATTTCTAAATTCAATTAAATCCGGAAAATTCAAATGAATTCAGGAATTTCCATCTTTATGCTGTTGAAACTAATTTTGAATTCCATTGAATTTCTTGTAAAATGTGAAATTCCATCATTTTTTCCCTTGAATCGAATTTAATCTCGATCTCCGATAGATTACCCGTAAATTCTCCACGAAAATTCGCTTTTTTCGTAACCGTGTTGCATCAACTCCCCATAAATTTTGCAGCACCTGAATTGTCAACATTTTCAAAGCTTTTCAGTGCCATATGGACTTGAAAATTGAGAACACTTGAATATTCAAGAAATTAACTGATTCGTCACCGAAGAAATGCAGAAATTTTATGTAACTTTCTCGCTGTTAAAAATTTCAAACTTTTTCACTTGAAATTTCAACACTGAGAAGGAAAATTATTTTTGCCAAGGAATTATTTTCTTGGGAGAAGAATTTATTTTTTAATAGCGTTTTTCTCCAGGGCAATCATTCCCAGGTGGTGCAAGTCCATCTCCAAATATTACAATTATGTTGAGTTGTGGAATGATAATGCTACATATGACCCTCAATGAATTCTATTGACAATTATTAACATTTAGAATTATTCCAAATTATGTTACGTAAGAAAATCAAACATTTGAAAAAATTTAAACATAATGAAGGGTCTTTATTCAAGGTAACATCTAGCGTAATCATCTTATAACTCAACATAACTGTAATGTTTGGTGATGGACATGAACCACCTGGGACCGACTGGTCTGGAGAAATCCGCTCCCAAAAAAATTAATTCTTCTCCTAAGAAAATGATTCCTTGGCACAAGTAAATTTTTTTCTCAGTGAACTGAACTCACAAAAAATTTGTTTCTCCGTGAACTCTTCAGTTTTCTTTTTCAATCTTCTAAGAGTAATAGCGCAGCATCAACTCCTTATCAATTTCGTTTTGTTTTCATCAAAACATTTCCATCCACTCAAATTATCCCGAGAAATACCTCTGAACCGTCGTAGAAGTTCCAATCCATTTGGAGCGCAGATCCAATTGCGGTATATCTCAATTCTCTCGGGATATATGTATTATGTCGTGTTTCGTGTCAGCAGCCATTCAGGTTGATTTCTGGTTGGAATTATAGCGAACCCACCCGGGCACCTAGGTCTGCTGATGATGCGCGTGAGTATGCCACAATCGCCCCCCGAACCCTCCGGCTCGTTTCACGTGATGAAACCGAAAAGGGGAAAGGGGCATTGTGCATTCAACCACAGGAACTGGAGCCACATCATTTGGTTGGTGGCTCTTCAGGTTTCTCAATGGAGAAATCCATCGAAGAATAGGGAGTACGTGTTCGGGACAAATTCGTTTCATTTGGTTTTCAAAGAAAAGAGAGAGAATTACGGGGGAAAATGCAGTGGAATGATGCTGTGCGTGGGTGGGCATGTAAAAAGAGGGTAAGTGGATGATTCAATGGGACTTCACCTGGGGAATGCTACCTCCTTCGGGTGATTATGGATGAGAACGCCCAGGTTGTCGGGAGCAAAACTCGGCACAGAAACGATTTTTGTGGAATTTATTCTCTCGGTTGGATTTATAGTTGAGGAGAGGGGAGTCTTAAATCGTTATGGTTGATTATTTCGCGGACATGTGGAGCCACAAGGGGCTTAGGAAAAGTTTTTGAGAGATTCTTTAGGGTAAATTTAGAGATAATTGTAAAATTAAATGTTTTGTGAATATCTTTGGTAGGAAGGGGCTTTTGGAAATTATTTTAAATACTTTTTCGTGGGAAATTTCATTGGCTATAAAAGAAGTGATATTTTTCTCTATTTTCTCTGATATTTGAAGAATAATCGGCATGAAATTTGTTAAAGTTCATCTTGTGTTACGAAATCGCAGGGTATTTTGTCGGGAGTAGAACTCAGCACAGAAGCGATTTTTTCGGAATTTATTCCCTCGGAATAAATTCCCTTCGGAATTTATATTTGAGGAGAGAGGAGTCTTAAATCTTTGAAATGAGTTTGTGGTTGATTATTTCGCGGATATGTGGAGCCGGGAGGAACTGAGGAAAAATTTTTGAGAGATTTTTTAGGGTTAATTTAGAAGATATTTGTACAATTAAGTGTTTTGTGAATATCTTTGGAAGGTAGGAGGTTTAGAAATTATTTTAAATACTTTTTTGTGGGAAATTTCATGGCCTATGAAGAAGTCTTCTGATATTTTTCTCTAACTATAGTAGTTTCGAAGATATTTGGAGAATAATTTGCATGAAATTTATGAGAAGTTGCAGAGTGTTTTGTTAATATTTCTGGAAGTAAGGGGTTTTGGAGAATTTGTCAAAATATACTTTTCTTAAATTTCTGTAATTATGGACAAAGTTGTTGAAAATTAACGATGGCAAATTTTTAAAATGAAATTAAAATCTCTCGCTGGAAGTTTCAAAGCAAAAATTGCCTCGAATTTCCAATAAAAAGCTGTAGAATTCCCGCAAAGTTTTTTAATCACTCAACCATGAAAAACACTTCCACACTAATTGTTTTCAATTCACCTTCAAACTCACTTGTTCCAAAAAAATTCTTTTTGCATAGGATTTTATCAATTATAAAAGAAGTTATTGTTGGAAATTTATAATGGAATTTTGTTTAATGAAATCTCGGGCGTTTGAAAGCTAAAATTGTCTCGAATTTCCAACAAAAAATAGAGAATTCCCTGAAAGTTTTTCAATCACTCAACATGAAAAACTCTAATTATTTTCAATTCACCTCCAAACTCCCTTGTTCCAAAAAAAGTACAAAAACAAAAAAAATTAACTTCATTTATCTCCCGTCATTCACTCAACTCCGTCCCACATGCAGATTCAAACAGTCTCCCATGAAAAAATTTACATTTTCCAAATGCAATCCATCAATGGAGTTTGCATTATACAATACGTGGCGCCGTGTTTCACCCGAGTTAAAAATGTGTTTGGTCGCTATAAATGTGTCTAGGCATGACATGATTCATGGTTCAGTGGCACGCGAGAAAGTCCCGATAGTCGTCCGATTTTTTTCTCTCCATTCTAATTGAAGCGAATTGAACTGCCACCGCTGGGAGCCCGAGTCTGCGGCCAAATCTGTTCAATTGCGTGAGTCTTGAATATCCATAAAGACCCCACAAATGTCGCCCCCCCCCCCACAACACACCGCCTCTTAATCTGAATAAAACTGTTGAAATTCTTAATCTGCAATTCAATTCAGCTTCCTCCTTACATTGTCAATTCCGATGTCTTGTAATCCGCGAATCAACATCATGACAAGTCAATAAACATGTGCACGAAGAAAATTATTTGGTGAATGTCAACAAGTAGTTGATGAAAATTATCAACTATCAACTAATTCAATGGAAGTGAGATTGAAATTTTACAATTTGATTGCATTTTCAGTGGAACAGGAATATTCAGAAACAAAATGACATAAATTTTCCATTTTTCCCAGAATTTTCTTTTTTTTCTAAATTGAATACACAGAATAATTGTTTAAAATACATCATCGTAGAAACCCCACTCCCCAAAATTGCACGAAATTTCAGTGGAAATGTCACTTGATAAAAATTTCCAGGATGTGTACCGGGAATTGCAACGAAAACTGTTTAACAATTCGGAAATCTGATCGTTCTTTGATTGCATTGATCGTAAATCAATTACAATTTCATAAATGTCTCGAGCCCATTATCGACGCCTGCACACGACATCAAAGAGCAATACCTAATGCATGTTCCATCAGCTCCGTAATGACTCTGCCCACAAATATACACCAATCATGTAACACAGCTGAGATACGTGACCTAAATGTGGATAAGATAATTTTGCACACCTCTGTTGTGACAACACGATTCTGACATTAGTTCAACTACGAGTCCATTGTTTGATGTGCCCTGGGGGTAGATATCATGGGTTAATAGTGCCCTAATTGTGAGCATTAAAAGGCTTCGCATCAAGTTTTACTTCGCTCCAGTTTTTTTCGGAGTGCCTCGGATCGAGAGGCGTTTGTTAACCCCCGATATGAGTGATTATTCACACGGAGATGATTATTTGGTGAATTTCAATAACTAGTTGGTGGGAAATCCTTAAGGATGTTCTACACCCTTTCTTCCAAAATTCACGTTTTTTTAATTTTTCTGGCAAACTTATGATGAAATTGACGTGAAAAAATATAACGTTTTTGCGTTTTGTCATTATTTAATGACTGACGAAATTTTAAGTTGGTGCGAACATTTTCCTGCGATTTCTCTAAACTTTTAAAAAGAATCACAAAACCGTAGAAAAAACGCATGAAAATTATCGCACCACTACGCAACTTCGTGAGCCATTAAAGAATGACAAACCACAAAATCGTTATACTTTTTCACGTCACTCCCATCGATAATTTGCCAGAAAAATGAAAACAACGTCAATTTTGGCTAAAAGGGTGTCGAACATCCTTAAAGGTGTGATAATGAGATATCGTCTCTCCATCAGCCCCAAAAACCCTCTCCCCTCCTTCACCGCGGTTTTTCCGTTCGTCCTTCGTGCAGAATATCATAGATCACGGGTGGCGCAGTGGCCGATTAACATCGCTCCACATACCGGTTTTCAATATCTCCCTATAAAACCGCCTATAATTCCCATTACTCGGTTCTCAAGTTCCTGGGGCACGTGGGTGTAGTGGACCTTCGGGCTTCTGATCACCGGTGCGGACGCGTGGCGCTGACTTGAACCGCTCCGAGGGAGCGAGACGGAGGGATCCCGGGTGGCACTCGACGGTGAGAGATAAGACGCACCGGTTGGACAAGGAGGCTGTCGTCTACGTTCGCGCGGGAGGAGAAGTGAAAGAGCGATAATAAGATATCGTGTGTGGCTCTTGCTCGGCACACGAGAGTGTATGCCCCCGAGTCAGCATAACCCGGTGAGGGAAGGAACAACCGCACCAGTGTCCGTCTCTGACTCTGGCCATTGCTTTTCGAAGCTCGCGCGCGAACGGTTATTCTCTTTGTATTACGTCTCGGCGGACGTTTCAAGAAGTCGCAGAGTTGAAAAGAAATCGGCGCGGTTTAGGTGTTCTTTAATTTGTGAAAAACACGGGAGAATTGAATGATTCGGTTCAATTTTATTTGTAAAAAATTTTAGAAATTGTTGCAGGTTTTTTGTTGTGAATTTATTAATCTGTTTTGTTGGTTGATTTTTGGATTGTTGATGGATTATTAGAGATAAAGTGGGAATTGGAGTTACGGTAAAGGATTTTTTGGAGCGTCGGAAAAACAGCTGATACATAGGTTGAGGGAGAGATCGTGTAGGATCAAAGGTATTTTTTCTTTGATTTTATTCGCTTTTTTATTTGTTCGGGTTCTATCGTAATTAATATTGCAGAGTAAAGAAAATTGATGAGTTTCGGGGTTTTCTGTGCCACGATATTTACTTGTTCATCAATTTGTGAAAATTTTTAAAAATTATTGCAGGTTTTTGATTGTGAATTTATTAATCTGTTTTATTGGTTGATTTTTGGATTGTTGATGGATTATTAGAGATAAAGTGGGAATTGGAGTTACGGTAAAGGATTTTTTGGAGCGTCGGAAAAACAGCTGATACATAGGTTGAGGGAGAGATCGTGTAGGATCAAAGGTATTTTTTTTTTGATTTTATTCGCTTTTTTATTTGTTCGGGTTCTATCGTAATTAATATTGCAGAGTAAAGAAAATTGATGAGTTTCGGGGTTTTCTGTGCCACGATATTTACTTGTTCATCAATTTGTGAAAATTTTTAAAAATTATTGCAGGTTTTTGATTGTGAATTTATTAATCTGTTTTATTGGTTGATTTTTGGATTGTTGATGGATTATTAGAGATAAAGTGGGAATTGGAGTTACGGTAAAGGATTTTTTGGAGCGTCGGAAAAACAGCTGATACATAGGTTGAGGGAGAGATCGTGTAGGATCAAAGGTATTTTTTTTTTATTTTATTCGCTTTTTTATTTATTCGGGTTCTATCGTAATTAATATTGCAGAGTAAACAAACTTGATGAGTTTCGGGGTTTTCTGTGCCACGATATTTACTTGTTCATCAATTTGTGAAAATTTTTAAAAATTATTGCAGGTTTTTGATTGTGAATTTATTATTCTGTTTTGGTGGTTGATTGTTGTATTTTCTCATTGATTTTATTCGCTTTTTTATTTCCTCGATTCCTATCGGAATTAATATTGCAGAGTAGTTAAAATTGATGAGTTTCGGGGTTTTTCTGCAACGATATTAAATTGTTTATTAATTTGTGAAAAATACAAATTGGGAATTGATTGATTCAGTTCAATTTTATTTCTGAAAATTTTTTTAATTTGCCGTAGATTTTCTTTGTGAATTTATTATTTTGTTTTGGAACTTGATTTTTGTATTGTAAATGGATTATTTACGATAAAATGAGAATTGGAGTTGAGGTGAAGGTTTTTTTAAAGTGTTGGAAAAACATTTGCTAAAAAGCTTGAGAAAAAGAGATACCGGCGAGGATCAAATATATTTTCATTTATTCTTTTCAAATGTTAGTCGATTCATTTCATTTTATTGTAGACACTATGAATGTCATATCAGAAAGACTTAACAAATTTTTAAAATTGCCTCAAATTTTGTGTTACGCTTTGAGATAAATTTAAGAAACCTGAAAAATTTTTTTAAATGAAAGAGTTTCAGAAGTTTTCGATTGTTTACCAGTTTTTTACATAGAAAACTTGATTGAGTCGATTCAATTAAACCTATGAAAATTTAAAAAAATAGCTGCAGATTTTATTATCTACAATTTATTACTTCAATTTTGTTATTTTCTCTATTTTCATCACTTCTTTGTCGTTGATTACATTAATTTTCCCACGAATTTCTTCATTTTCGGAGAGTCATCATAAAACATGTTTCATATTTCATTCGTCTTGTTTTCATGAAGTCATAATAGGGGTATGATCCAACGATCACGTAATACGATAGGGATTTTGTTTTCATACGTGAACGAATGGCTTCGGAATTCTCCAATGATCTTGGCTGGCAATTTGTCGCTTTAACAGCTTTTCGCCGAAAGGATTTTATTAGGTACGTGACACCGTTTTTACGAGAGCGACTCCCTCACTTCTCCCGCAATTTTTATTTCTACTTTCATGTTTATTATAATGCCGTTGACTTGGAGAGATTTGTCCCGCGAGAAGTGTTCGTGATGATGTAATTCTATGTTTACCGCCTCACTTAATTATCATTGGAGTAATGAGGCACTTTACATCTGGAACATCAATGAAATTCTAGGAATTTGACGAGATGGATAATATTGATCTTCTGCTTTTGTGGACCGTATTATCTCATCACTCGGATTTCTGCGGAAAAACGAAGAGTTCAAAGTGTGGTATTCGAGGTATTCGTTGAGTAGCCAAGTATTTCAGAGGCAGACAACTGTTTAATGGGCTTGGAGTGCTTTATTCTCGGTTCTAATGCATGGAGAGGAAAATGTAGTAAAAATTAACTTCATGCGGTTGGCAAACGTGGGACTGAATGCGTTTTTGAGCAATTTTTAACGCTTTTTATCATTTCGACTGATATTTCACGGAATTTCGTCTGAAACTGTGAATTTCGGTCCAATTGTTCCGTAAAAAATGGGACAATTTAGGTAAATATATTCTTGTAGGTTAAATTAATTGAAAATTCTGTGTAATTTGGTACTGAATATTCAGGTTTTAATTAAAAATTCCTCTTCCTACTGCCGAAAATTTCGAAATTTCATTGAATTTTGAGTGAAGTGTGGAATTTAATGATCTTTTTTCATTTAAATTAGATTCACTGTCACTCCCTTGGAAACTACTAATGCTGTTTAATATTTTGGCTGAAATTTGAAGAAATTTCGTTATTGAAATTTCAACATTTCATGGAAAATTCAATGAAACTGTAATTTCAATCCAATTATTTTGCAAAAAAATGAAACTATTTAGGCAAATATTTTCTTGTAATTTGAATTAAATAGAAATTCTGTGGAATTTGGTACTGGACATTCATGTTTAAATTGAAAATTCCTCTTCTTACTGCTCAAAATTTTGGAATTTCATTGAATTTTCAATGAAATGGGTAATTACATTACTTTTTGTTCTTAAATCAGATTCTACGTCACTTTTTTGGAAACTATTAGTCAACTATTCATGAAATTTCATTTTTTTATGTTCTAACAGTGAGTCTAGGAAAGAGTGAGGAATGTAGAATAAAAGATAAATTCTTCTCTCTTCTTCATTCCTTTTCCATTTCGTTCCTTGAAAATGACACGAAGAATTATTAATTTACCATTTAGTAAATTTCTATTCTTCATTTCCGTCCGTATGCTCGCTCCAATTAAACCGAAAATGGTTTTCTACAGCATTAATAAAAATAAATAAATAAATTCGTTCTCTCGGCCTTCCAAACAATATTTTCATTTTTTCACTATTAAATTATTCATTTACAATAAAAAAACATTCGTTTATACTTGAAAAGCTATTTATTTTATGTGAATAAAAATGCAAATAGCAGCTAAGTTTAGACTTGAAAAAGAATTTCACAACGAGCTATTGAATAAACCCATTCATGTCACTCGAATCAAGTTTATTGAATTGAAATAAAGCATGTCCCCGGGTGTGCAAGGAACTCTCGAAAATTCAGGAAGCCGCTTATGCTTGTTATTATCATCGCTCTCATTAGTTCCGGTGGGACATTATGGATATTGTTGGTGGGGGGCTTGGACTCCTCTCGCCTGCACTTTCTCGCACGCTCTCTAACGGATGTTTAACACCGCAGATGCGTTATCTCTGGGTATGTCTCTGAGTTGATTAATCCGATGATTATGGAATTAAATTCAGCTTCTGCGAATCGAGATAATGAGCGGAGAATTTCTCTAGGCTGTTTAATTCACATTTCATTTATTTTCCCGTTTTCTCATTTCGGAGATATCGTTGATTTAAGGACATTCGTCACAAGAGATTTTTGCAGAGAAATTCGGGGAGTACAAAATAATTCTTTTGACAGCGTTTCGGAGAATGCTTCATTGCTGAGATAATTACTTAATTAATTGAGGAGATTTGATGCATTCATTCAAGAAAATTTTGAGAAAAGCTGAGGATTAAAAATCTGTTCTAGAAAATAATTTGTGGTCAGGAGTAAAAATCAGCACAGAAGCGATTTTTTTTAATTCAATTCTTCCGAGTATATTTGAAGAGAGGGAAGTCTTGAAACTTTGAAATGAGTTTGTTGATTACTTTGTGGATGCCTTGGAACGGGAGGGGTTTAGGCGAATTTATCAAGAGATTTCTTGCTCGAATTTCATCGGCCACAAAAAAGGTCCTTTGATTTTTCTCTCTAAACCTGGTAGTTACAGAGATATTAGTAAAGTGATTCACATGAGATTTCTAAACTCTTCAGTTTTTTTTAGGAAGTTGCGGAATAATTTGAGACAAAGGATTTATGAGAGTTTATCAAGGGCTTCTGTGTAGGGAATTGGAAATAGGAAATTCGTTCATTGGAAAACTTCATTGGAAAGGAATTTCCGATTCGGAATACAAATCAATTGGCTGAATATCTCGAATAGCTCTCGGGATACTCAAACCTGAATTTTTATCGTAGACTCCAGAGGTGAAATGGGTACTTTGAAGTGAAGATTCTCCTCGCTTTTCAGTGGAATAATCCCCGCGATTTTTCTATCATTCTACATTTTAATAAATAGAATAATCCCTCTTGTCTCTGGCATTTCACTCCCCTCTCAATATTGTGTTCCATTTTCACGAATTTTTTCCGTGAAAGTCGTGAGTGCTTTGGAGTGCAGACGAGAGGTACGAAAATGTTCTAATGTATTCGGTTGAACGTAATTCAATTGCGTTTGTACGACGGATGAAAGAGAAATGATTGTGTTTCAGATGTTTCTTTTTATGAAAATTATTGATTATTTTTCATTTGAGGAGGTATCACGCTCCCATTAAACTGTTTTATTTCAGTTTTCGATTTTGTGAAAAATTGAGTATTCACTCTTGACGACAGTTGACTAAAGATTTAATAAAACAAGAGAATTATTCAACTTTACATTTCTCTCCAGAAAACTTTAGGAGTTTATTCTTATATTAATAAAGGTTAAATTGAAATGCTTTTCTCACTATTGAAATATACAGCAAAAAACTGCTCCATGAGATAAAATGTTGGGGTAATTTTGTTTTTGAAACACAAATTTCTCCGGTTATTCACTGGAACAGGTTTTATTTTCGTAATGCTGATGGATCCAAATTTTCTAGTTTTTTGCGAATATTCGCTTTGGAATTAAATTATTTGAGTTGATATCACGCTTCCAATCAACTGTTTCATTTTGTTCGGTCGAGAGTTATTGAGAGACCTCGTGCGCTGTTTTTATGTCAATCCATTCGATTTCAGAGTTTGTTTATTTTTTACTCTTTTTGGCATGCAAGTGACAGCTGCATTCGAATATTCAATTCAAAATTCCTCGTGCAACCATTCAGTGAGGAATTCTGAGTATTAAACTCAGAATTACTTATTCACATTGGAAATTTAACGAGATTACATTCCTCGCGTTCCGCCGATCATTGATATATTTTAATGACAATTTGGATTTTCAAGCGCATTGTGAAAATTTACACGAGGTAACAGCAATAATTTTCCAACAGTTGAGGAGTTTTATCTGTAAAAGTTTGGGTCAATAAACTTTACTAACAATTCCGTATGTCCTGACAATAGAAACCATTCTCGAAAATTATCGTATATGATTTTTCCTCACATTTTAATTTTCCTTAAACTAGAGCTTCTAGAAAAAACGTTAGAAAAGATTTTAGAAAACGTTTTTGTATTTATGAATGTAATATTCGCAAAAAATGTTCAATTTGGAATTCCTTATGCAACCACTGCATAAAAAATTCTGAATGTTCAATTCAAAATTTCTTATCTTAAAAATTCAC